TAACATTTCCGTCACACGCTTGAGGTATTCGGCCAATCACAATGCACTGGATAGCTGGCCAATCAGCGTACACCTCACTTTTCAGACCGATGAGCTTTGTAAAAATCGACACGTTTCAGAAAGGCGGGGCATAGAGGAGAAACAATAATGTACAGTATGTGAAAAATAATGTGTTTTTTGAACCTTAAACCGCATAAACACATTTATAATGTTCTTTCAATAATGTTCAATAATGTTCTTTTTACAAGCATCATATGACCCCTTTAAATTTTACCTCCAAAAAATAAAATTCATGCTACATTTAAGCTCTTTTTTAAACAAAAATTGCAGTTATATTTATAAGTCCTTAAAATCAATTTCCTATTGTGTAAGATGTGTCTGAGTATGACTTACCACAGTCATCCTGGATGTCATGAAACAACAGGAGACACAGGATATTACTTGACCAAAGTTATGCTCCATGAACAGCCAGGACTGCATACTATTATGAAACAGGATACGCAAACAATTTATAATATCTGTATTACCATATCTGACATCTGTGATAAACTTGCAAACTTAAAAATATTTTGTTTTTAACAGTAAAATAAATGTCGATACTAATGAAAGAGCTTAAACTGGGGTTTCTTTCATTTGCAATATCCACAGAAAATGCCTAAATACGGTTGCTTTGCCAAGTTCTCCGTCAGTTTAAAAAAAAGATGCTTATCACAACAAAATCCAATATGTCAACACCACAAAATACCTCTTTATTTTTAGATTTGTAAATAATGCTTCTTTCCTTAAATCCTCTCTTAAATGATTGAGTATTGTGAGATGCTATTCTTTTGAAAGATTGTCTGACACTTGTCCTACAGTCTGATGATAAAGACTGCTCTTGGAAATTTTGATCCGTTCCATTCTGTAAATTAACATCGCTACGCAAGTAGATGGTGAGTTTCTTCTTTGATTTTCTTTTATGAGTCATTGAATCATTCAGTCAATTGATTCGTTAAAAAGACCATAGTCGAGTTGTGTCTATAGATCTACTAATACACCCCCGAAAGAAAGCATTATTTCCACGCAATTTACAACGTAGCAACCATTTCACTGACTTTTATCATTCTCTGTATGAACAAAATCTGGTTCAGTTCGAGTGACACTAGTCATTATTTGCAACTCTGAGCAACAGCGACTGTATGAATCTGCTTATGGTCTTGAACACGAACAATTCGTTCGCTTAAAAGATTCATTCAAAATCAAACGAGGCTCCACATACACATATTTTTAGGCAAACTTGTGTAATTCAAACATTTGAAATTCACTCAAAACATATACAATTACACTTTGGATAAGATCTTTTAAAAAGTACTAAACACTGTCTCATGGAGTTGAAAATGCAAACTTAAAAATCTTTAGGTCCTTACCCAGGTAGCCAGCGGAATCGGGCCGGTTGCGGCTGAGTGTCGGCTCACTCGGCTGTGGGTCGGCCGCGGCCCGCATTGTATAATCTGTGCTGGCCTGATTGTGGCCCGATGCTGGCAGTGTCGGCTCAGTTTCGGCACCCGGACTCGGGCCAGCGTATTCGGGCCGATTCTGGCGCGTCATTCATTCCCGTGATTCACACGAGTCCGGCAACCGCATCTGGCCCGAGTTATTTCTTCCGGCTTGCCGGATTTGGGCCGTTATCGGGCCAGATCTTTTTGGCTACCTGGGTACAACCTTTAGGCATTAAAGTAACTTTACGCGTTTTTCTTTTTCAAGTGCATTCATTTTGCATTACATTTTCGCGTTTAGTCTTGTTTAGAAGTGGTTTACAGTGTCTCAAACTTTCATTTACAAGACTTACCCAGATGAAGGCGTACTGGGAGAGCAATGACAAGATAGCACTGCAACCAGATCCAAACATCTGCTTCCACCATTAAAGCTGCATGTTTCAGACAACCTTTTCCAGCTCTCTGAAAGGCGCTACGTTACTAAATACATAAATTCTCTTCATACCAGCCATGTTCGAAGGACTGCACAGCAGTTACAAGCGCAGCACTTATTTCTAAATACACGTTCAAAGAACAGCTCTTTTGTTGATCACGTGACAGCTCGGAGATTGCTGGATGCGTCGCGCGCCAGATGCCAGCGCAGCAACTGAGACTCTTGAGAGCCAGCGGGAACGCGTCTTAAGACTCGTGTCCTATAACCGACCCTTTCTCTTCTCCATTATGGAAAACAAACCAGCTTCAGCTTCAATGTTACACATAGTTTACACACAGCTGCACAGAGGCAGAAAACAGATACATTTATATAATAATTTAATTAAGATCGTGCTTGTATACAAATATAATAGCAGTGGTTTTACACACACACACACACACACACACACACACACACACACACAAAATACAGTCTCTTTGGCTATCGATTTGTCTAAGACTTTACAGTTCTGACAGCCCAACCCAGTTATTCCTCTAACACAAAACTGCTGCCAGTGAGGGCTGGATTCCAAATATATCCCCTCATGCAGGCTTTTTGTTTTCCACCAGGTTACTGGGCACTTTCCAAGCCAGTTTTGGGGTCTCTGTGGTCTGATATTCCAGACTTTTGTGCTTGAAGGTCATTTAGGACCAGATCTTCTTCATGACGAGGCAGTCCCTGCTCTCATGATCTTGAAAAGAGCATTGATGTTGTTGTTCTTGATGGCATCCCGACAGGCAGTGATAACCTGGGTTTTGGGTTTTCCCACTGAAAATATATAATAAATAAATCTGGCACAAATAACAGCAGAGGAAAGCATTGTTTTGCCCTCTAGATGCACATTCCTATATGGTGTGATGTGAAAACTATGAATACTCATTGACTACCATGCATGCGTCTTCTTAGAAAAATCCACCCACCTCTCAATCTCCCTGCTCTTTGGATGGCCTGGTTAACCGATTTTAGCCGGGCAAGGAGGGCGTTGTGATTATTAGATCTGATTTTATATTCATTAATCAGATCTCTGTTGAGGTCATACAGCTCAATGTAGCGCTTCTTCATGCTTCTCCTAGAAAACAGTATCATTTATGTGACTACATTTGTCTGAGAAAGCGAGAGGACTGATTAATCAAACTAGGGATGCTCACCAATCACCCATGAGTCTGGCATCTTCTGCCTGCACCAGCATATTTCTTATGTAGTTGGAATGATCTGCCATTGCTGCTGTGAGCTTTTGATGCACTGAGTGAAACTCATCCACCTAACATGAACGTAAAAGATTATTTACAGCTGAAAAATATTTTCAAAAATCTTTATGGTGATGCTGCTATTCCTAACCTCAGTGAGTGTGGCCCGTAGCTTCTTGAAGTAGACAGGAAAGTCAGCTTCAGCCTGCAAGTCTTCTATGGCCAGAAAAGAGGCAAGAGACTGGATCAGATCTCCTGCCAGATCAATGTCATCTGTTCTCAGTGTGATCTGACGAGGCAGAATTTAGTTGGAGATTTTGGAATAATGAAGAGAAAGTAGCTCAGAAATAGTGACAAACACACACAATAAAAATACCTCTCCACTAGGCTGCATGTTAATTTTCAGGAGACCTCCTGCGCGCAGTGTGGTGAAGGTGATGTCTGGACTGTCAATGCCCTCAGGCAGCAGAAAGTTCTGGTTTAGCCACATGACCACCTGCAGACATAGATACATGCCTCATATTTCATCAATATATAGAGATTTGTTTTGTGATGACATGCACACAGTTCCATTAAGAGTGTGTCCTTTTACCCTCTGTGGTCTGTCATTGATGCTGAATGTGACTTTTCCTGTGGGTTGTGTGGCTGAGGGGTCAACGCTAAGGTCATACATGGAGAAGCGAGGCAGCTGACGTGTGATCTCAAATACATGGAACTGTGTACTGGAGTAAATGGGGAAGAAGAGAGAAAAAGGAGAAACGATTCACTTTTACATGATACCTTCATCTTAAACTTAAAATAACCGCCGATTTTCAAGCATGTTTGGACACTGAATGAATCCTCAAAATGTAATCCATATAATGAAGTTTGTCAGTCGTCATGATGATATTCTACATGTGTGTACCTTGTCTTCCCTCCCACAAAGGCTTTAATGTGAAGATCCACTGGAATGTCTTTTGGAGGAATGATGGGGACACGGACACAGCTGGAGAGATTTTGAACGCTAGGATGAACAACATGACTCTCGCCTTCAAAAATCCCTTCAGCAAATATCAGCACGGCTCTAATGATGGTTTCTGAAGGAGGGCAGCACCAAGAATATGACAATTTTATCATTTAAAACTTCATGTCTCCGGAGCACCGCACATGACATGCAGGATAATAAATAGATCCTGTGAGAATTAAGAATTCATTCTCTTATTTTGAAGAAGGAAAGCAATCAATAAGTTGAGGGAATTAATTCTTTATTCATGGCCACAATTTCTTGTTTTTTCCCCTGCATGTTATATGTGGGGCTCTGTGCATGTCAACCAGGGATGACATTTTAATGTAGCTCTTAAGACAAAACAATTATAATAGTAGTGCAGGTAAAAAGTGCTGCGACAGAGTGAAGATGGATTAACTGTACCATTCGGAGTGGAGATGTTGAGCTCTATGTGTGCTCTCTGACTCTCTGTGGCTCTTCGTACAGACAAGGCTGTCTGGAGCTGTGTGTTGGCTGGAATTACACCCATCTTAGATTCCCCCTCCGAAACACCAGGAAGAGCCTAAATCAAACAAATCTCACTGACCAAAACTGCCCCCAGAACATCAATGGCCATCAATAACATTTTAACTATACAACTGCATGTATAACCTTGGCATTTTCCTCATAGTTTCGTAATTCCAATATCAAGTTCTGTTTACGTTGGCTCAGCTCCCTGATCAGGTCTTGTTCTACACTTGCATCCATTAGGTTTCCCTTCATCTCCTTACTGGCAGGCAGATAGCCACGTACTGTGGGACGACACATAAATTTGATGAGCCAATTCTCAAAGGCAACATGCATTTACAATAAAGTTCCGTCAACTCACCTTCTCCCTCCACAGAGCTGCATATAAGCTGGATCTGGCCATCCATACGGTAGTCTCCTTCAACAACCCCAGCCACAGAGGACGAGAAGTTATCCTTGAAGATCACCTCACCAGTGCGATCACTGCGAGCATCAATCTAGACAGGGAATGATCTCATTTGATCAGTACTGCAAAAACCTTGTTAAGGAAAATGTGAGTGTCATTGCTAAAAGACTGACCTTTCCATTGGACCACCCAGTTATGAGCTCAGCAACACCATCGGCATTAAGATCAAAGGCATGAATACTCATAGCGTGATTTTTAGACTGTACGAAAAAAATAAGACACTATATCAATATACTTTGTTTCCAACTCATTTATGTTGATGAATAATCATGCTCGTTTAGGAAAAATGGCTGATTCAGGTTTAGTTTTGAATGGAGCACAATGTACTACCTTGATCCTCCAGTAACGGGCAGTGCGGTCATATACTCCGACTGTACCATTGGACAGAGCATAACCAAACCTGCTGCCGTGCATGTGACAAAGCGACGTGACTGTCTGAAAGGAACAGAAAGCAACAACTGTATAAATAAGAAATAATTTCCCACCGAAAGCAACAATAGTATAAATAAGAAAAAAAATCCCCCAAAATTGCCCAATTATCAACCAGCAATGTCTCAGACTATTTTCATAATTCATACCTCATTTTCTGCCATCTCAGTCACTAGTTCATCTTCTCTAAACACCCTGATGTCAAAGTCCTCTGAGCCAACAAGAAGCTGTAAAGATGGGATGTATGGTCAATTTATAAAAGCAGTATTTTATAATAACTTCGAAAACTTGTCATGAAGAGAAAATGAAAAGCATAATGGCTCACCTCATTCTTGCCATCTGCAGTAAAGTCACAAAGCACAAGTGATCGTACATTATCTCCAGTGACCTTTAAAAAAAATAAAGGTTTATCTATAAATATCCTTTTTTGTCAAATATATATTGAAAACAGAAATTGAAATAATCTTACTGTCCAGAACTGGTCATTTCCCTCAAAGTCAAAGCCTTGCAGAGCACAATTTCCTCCAATAATGGCGAGGGGGGACTGGATATCTCCTAGTTCTCCCAGAACAATGGCATTGGCCCCATCAGTCACCTGTTATACAATAAGCATGTGACAAACATTTCTGTCTTACTTGGATAAGAACCACTCATATTAATCTATCTATCTATTAATCTCCTGATATCAGTGACCTAAGAAATCCATTCTAAATTAAGGATTTTATAAAAAAAAAAATAAAAAAAAATGTAGCTGTATACTGTATATGAGACGTGCCACATAAACCTCGCCTTACCTCCTTGTAAAAGATGTCAGTGTTGTCATGCACATCATAGGCCAACAGGTTGGTCTGAGAGCCTACAAGCAGTGTGTGTCCTGTGGTGTTGGGTCCCAGAGTACCAGCCGTCAGACAGCTGACTGTCTGGTTGATATTGAGGAGTGAGATATCGGAGTCCTGGGTACTCTGACTCAGCCGGTGGGCTGCTGGTCTCTGGCCTTGAGTGTGAGGGTTATGGATAAAAACCTGCATGGGTTTAGAAGTTAGACTTGATGACTTGACAGTATGGAAAAACACAAATAGGTATATTATGTAGAAGATACTATGGAAGCTTGTTTCAGCCACAGTAATTACCTTTTTTTTATCTCACAGTTCTGATTTTTTTATTCGCAATTATGAGTTTATATCTCACAATTCTGACTTTTTTCAGAATTGCGAGATATAAACCCAGAATATAAACACAGGAGCTGCTTGTCAAAATAAAATAAAAAAACATTGCTGGTGGAAAAGCTGAAGACTACATAAACATTGGCATAGTTAAGAGCTCTATGAAGTCCATTGTAGTAAAATACAACAGCCAAGGCACTACTGAGATCAGGCTTTGCTGCCAAGGTGAGCAAATACTGTCAGAGAAAAAAATGGCACTTGTCATAGAAGAAAACAAGCTTTCTGCATGAATATTCTTGAACAAAACATGTGCTTTGTAAATTTGTTGAATTTGCTATTGACGCCAAGGGATGAATAACTATTACAATGAGTAATACAATATAATATATTGTTACATAATATAATACAATACTTTTAACTTACCTTCCCTGCTTGTGTGGCTGCTGTGAGGCATGGGTGTATCCCATCATATTTTCCAATGGCAACCATTCGAGGGTTAATTTTATGATTAAGTTTAAGAGTAAAGATGGGCACTAACATGGTGGCACAACAGTAAGATCCGATTCTAAAAAAAAAAAAAATAAAAAATCCCAGTGAAAACACCATAAACATATGTTACAACAATGGCTTGGTGATCATTCACAGCATTAACTACAAAAAAAAAAAAACAATCAACCATCAATGATGTGGCATTATTGTAAAATAACATGTACACACACTGAGTTTTGAAAATTTTATCTAAAATTTTTCATTTCTAATATTCATTTTTTATGAGTAAATTGTTTGCTCTTATGGTTATTCGTCAATTTACAGTATAATGAAACAAGAAAAAAAAAAAGGAAATTACTACAAGGGGTGCAAAAAGCAATAATTAGGGTACCAAGAAGTAAAACAGCCTTTTTCAGTAATTATGAAATGATTTACCCATGGAATTCAAAAGACAAACAAAACTGAAATAATTTAATATAGCTATTAAAACTGCCTTAAACAGAATTATTCATTTGATCATTCATTATTTTATTAGGGTTTACATAATTGGTCATTTGTTAATTTTATATATTACAATGTTGAAATTTTGATTGGATGCTGATTGATGTTGTTTCGTAGGTCCACACTAAAAGCCTAACCAGCGACGAGTGCTGCATATTAGCTATTAGCTAAAGGCATATAGAACATTTGCTGCTCAACACTGCGCAGTAATGTTACTCTGTATCGTCCCTGTCAACGAAATAATCGTTTACATAAATAGAATGCATATAAATGAACTGAAATGCCTATTTGGGTAAAGAAGGATGAGACATCCAACCAGCTGACTGTATTCAGGCTTTAGTAGTGCTTTCTGTAGCCCATCTAACTACCCCTTCTGTCTGGGTAATAGAATAAACAGCTTACTGTGCCTCTCGTCCCATAGGGCTTCCGTTGCCTAGCAACAGTGGGCAGCTTGTCACGGCATTATGAAGCCATTTTTGCTAGCATGCTATTCTTGCTAATCCTTTTAGTTTACACGCTGCTCACCAGGTTTTTTTTTTTTTGTAATGAACTTTTACTTTGTTTTTCTACTTGAACATATGAACTATGCCACGCCATTTGGATTTAAAACGAAGAATTTGCATGCCATTTATGTGTTAGCCAGATTCATGCTACATGCTTCAGACAACTCAAGTGTGTTTTCTATGCGCTGGCTAGGGGTGCTAACTCTGCGTAGCTACACAGAATTCGTGCAGACCCGCTTTATATTGCGCTGGGAGATATGTGCATATTGATATTAACTTCACGGCAATAACCTTATAAATTGTATTAAATTGAAAATTGTCTTACCACAGCCGCTAGTTTGTTCCCTGCTAGGTGGTGTACTCGGACTCTTCCCTAGCAGGACAGACTCAGACTGATGCCCATAACTTGGGAGATTGTTTTCAGGATGTGCAGTGAGCACGCGTCCTGATTTGAGAACTTCTTCTTCTTCTTCTTTTAAATTTAATGGCGGTTGGCAAACCAACTTAAATGGTGCATTCCCGCCACCTACTGGATAGGAGTGTGGAGCGCATAATGATTGGAAGTTTGAGAACTATAGCCAAAAACAAACAAAAAAAAAATATCTATATATATAATATTTTTTCTTTTTTTTTTCCTTTCTTTTCCCCTTTTTCCTTTTTTCCTTTTATAATACAACGCCAATTATTCCCGCTTTATTTACTACACCTGTATCCTAAATTCTATTGATCAGTCTTGTTTCTTTTAAGAAAATTATTAATTCATGAAATATTCTTGATTGCTTTGGGCTATTTCCTAACAGAACCTGAAGTGACAAATTATTTATTCCGAATGATCCTAAAGCTTGAATTAGTTGAAATCTTGCTCCTTCATATGCAACACACTCTATAAGTACATGTTCTACTGATTCTGCAGCACCCCAATCCTATCGAATGCACTCCGTCTCGCTAAGAAAAGCTATTTGAGAACTTAACAGAGCGGCCATAATAAAAGCTGGCAGCTTGGCATGAAGAATTAACTACACGAATCATGTTTGTAATTATAACGTTTTCTAAAGCATCCGTATTGTAGAGGAATTGGTTCAGCAAATGAGAAAAGACTTGACCGGGGTTTTTTTTTAATATAACATTCATAGACATCGACTGGTATGTGGAAACGTGTAAAGGTTTCTGTCGAATGTAAAAAGAAGGCCATTTATAGTCAATTAGCTGATTCGCAAGTAGCAACAAGACTCACAAAAGCACTGAATGAAGTGGTTGTTTAAAAACAATTTATTGAAATCATATTAAAATTAATATACATTCCTTTTAAGTTTAAACAATGGCTTTCAGCTTACATTGGCATGTTTTCTTTACAGTAGTTATTTGGTTAGCTACATTTTTGAATAGCTTGCTCAAAACTGGATATAACAATCCATTAAAATGACAGATTATTTGTTATTAAGTTATTTCATAGAATCATAAGACGTCTACTTGCTGAGGGAGCATAACTCTTATAAATGCGCGTTTGTTTGGTATTTTAATGTTTGAATTATTTATCTTCACCCCCAAAATTCAAAGACACTCTGCACTCGTTACATTTCAGTTGTAATGAAGTGATGGGTAATGGAAAAATAATCCTGGTCAACAGCGAGTGAGTAAACGAGTGCAAATCAATTCTTCTGTTTACTGTAGTCTTGCCAGCATCCTCGCCGAGTGCAGACAGGGGGAGCACGTGCAGTTTCACACGCACACACACACACACACACACACACACACACACACACACACACACACACACACACACACACACACAGTTAGTTTCACTTTAGGGCCGTGTGCAAAAATTGACAAACTGATGACAAACAATTACATGGCAGAAAATAAAACTTTCGTAAATTCAAAAATTGTCTCTCCGCGAACATCTTCTAAAGATGCCCTCGATGGGCCTGTATCTGCTTAAATTATAACTTATTTATGCTCAAATACGTGCTTATTTTAATATTTAATAGGGAAGTAGCCTACCACTTTGCTTTTTTACAAACTAAAGGCATTAAAGAAGCTCAAAAACTGAGCAAGTATGACAAAGTATGGTCTTTTATAGTTCTCCTTGATTCTATCAAAATACTTTATGCTATTAAAGCAGCACTATGTAACTTTTTCTGTGTTCAAAATTGGCCAAATGTATATAATGAGCGAGTACATAATGAATTCATCTTCCAATCCGCGTTTTTGTCTTATTTCGAATCACTACGGTACACTTATAATAAGTACTTATATTTGGACTATTGTAGCCTGGTCGGGTCGTCACCGCTGCGGAGTAACACATACCTGCGTGAATCGCCATAGACATAAACTTAGAGAAGTAGCTCCGGTTGGAATGTTCTTCCGCGGGATGTGTGCAATTCTGTTTATTAACCGCTAGAGCGCCAAAAGTTACATAGTGCTGCTTTAAAAACAAGATCTTTCACCTCCCAAAAAGAAAATAACATACAAAAGCTTTGAATTATATAATCACATAAACACTCCGCAATCAATATTCAGCCAGTGGAGTGGGAATGGTAGTTATATAATCGTATAAATAACACATTGATGTGACAGGGTGGGAATGGTGATTCCTGATTGTTTGATAGTTTGCACCCAGCTTCATTAATGAGTCACCGTGTGCAGGCTGGAGCGGGCGGGCTTTTGCACTCGGTCTGTGTGCAGACAGTCCGAGCTGTATAAAACCAGCGCGCGATCAATTCCCTGTTACCTGCCACATCAACTCTTTCACAAACTGAGTGAAGCGAAATTTATAAGGGACTTTTGGGCTGTTTAAGGATACTCTTGAGGAAAAATGGATCCTTGCGATTGCGCCAAGAGTAAGTGTTTCAGATTTACATTGATGCTGACTTTTTGAGTGCTCGAAAATGCAGTTACTATAGACTTGCTACCAGCATGTCAACAACGTGCAACTTAAACTTTTTTTTTTTTCTGATTTGTACTGCTACAAATAAGACTATCACGAGATGTCTGTTCTTTATAAAAGGACAATTGTAAGTTTTTCTGCAATGTGTTTTGTCTACAATATATAAATGTCAGCAGTTATTGGTGTGTGGCTTTATTTCACAGCTTTTTTGTGTTTATTAACTCCAACAGCAGTGGTGGATAAAATATTTAAAATCCACACTTAAAAGTATTTCTTACCAGAAAATGACTTTGGTAGAAGTTAAAGTCACTGTTTAGAATTTAAAGTATGTGCTATTTAGTTAAGTATGTAAAGGTTTTTATATTTTATGAATATTAAACTTCAGTATTCAAAGTAACCTCAAAACGGAAAAGAAGCAAATATTAAAAGTTGTTCTACACAGAGTTTGAGCAGCAAGCTTGTGCTCGATAATAACTCTCTCCCATTTTTTATGTCTTTGGGTTATCATAGGAGCTCCTTCATCTGGTACGAATACTCTTTAATTTCAACAAAATAAAAAACGTTTTTTGAAAAAAAAAAAAATGGAATCTGCATCTGAAGTAGCATTTTAGATTAGTTTACACATACCGTTTAATGCAGCTCAGAGGGGACATGGATGTATTTAACAAATGCTTGTTTTTTTAAGATTAAATAGGCCTATTGATATTTGAGAAGATTGAAAGAGACTTGAAATGTGAAATTAAACCCGCCAGTAGGTGGCGGCAAGTTACTTTTAATGAGGGAGTCGTTGAGATTAAATTGATTAATTCAAAAGGTTGATTCATTCAGAAACGAAACATTTGACTGTTTTAATGAGTGAATCACTGAATCATTCGTTCAAAAAAAAAAAAAAACTGGTCATTCAATAAAATACGTCCTGAGTGTCCTTCAGCGGCGCAAAACAGTGCTGTTTGGAACTTTTTATTTATTTTTTTTTATTTTTTATTTTTTTTGAGCGAAATTCAGCAAAAACCGGCATCTAAAATGTAAATAGCCTAAATGAATACTAACGTTATTAGACTTGTAAACAATCAACATTACATTTGTTATCATGCTGATATCTGGAGAAAAAAACGACATTCTTAGTGTGATATAGATTAAGTAGGCCTATATTAAATTATATAAATATAAAAGACATACAGAGGCATTTTGCCTCATATCTTGAATCTTATGGGCATTCTAAATGCGTTTTAAAGGGGTCATACGATGCGATTTCAAGTTTTCCTTTCTCTTTGGAGTGTTACAAGCTGTTTGTGAATAGAAAAGATCCCTAAAGTTGCAAAGACTAAAGTCTCAAACCAAAAGAGATATTCTTTGTAAAAGTTAAGACTTGTCCACGCCCTTCTAAAACGCCTTGTTTAAACACGCCCCCACATGTCTACGTCACTGTATGGGAAGATTTGCATAACACTGCCCAAATGTTCACGCAAGGAAAGGTGTAACTTTGATTCTCGCTGTAGTATTGTTGCCGCCGCCGCCGCCATGTCATGGAGACGCTGTGTGTTTCGTTGTGAAAGCGAAACTACTTTGTTTGGTCTTCCAAAAGAGGACACAACTAATAATCAGTGGTTAAGTTGTATTTACAACACTGTTCCAGAACAGTTTAACCCAAATATTCGTGTGTGTGCAACGCATTTTACAGAGGACGAGGGCTGTTTCCTGGGAGAGTAGCCTACAATGCCGGTTTTCTGACAAATAATGCTGACTCACAGTCTGTAAGTACATTTTCATATTTAAAAAATTTGCCACTGACGATTCAAACACGAGTTTTGAGCAGTATAGAGTAGCGCTTCTTGTTTGTCGTTTCTCCGATCACAAATGCAGACATGGTTTTATGTTTACGCGGCGCGATGCAACGCAACATGTAAAAATACAGTATAAGTCATTATAATCAGTAATTATGTCCCCACTGGATGCTACAAATGCCTCGTTTGTAATACCCATTATAAACAAGGCATTTGTTGCATCCAGTGGGGACATAATTACTGATGATAATGACTTACTGTATACTGTCTTTTTACGCATTGTGTTGCATCGCATCGCGCCGCGTAAACAAAACCATGTCTGCATTTGTGATCGGAGAAATGACAAACAACAAGCGCTACTCTACACTGCTCAAAACTCGCGTTTGAATCGTCAGTGGCAAATTCTTTGAATATGAAAATGTACTTACAGGCTGTATATGGGTTAAACTGTTCTGGAACAGTGTTTTAAATACAACTTAACCACTGATTATTAGTCGTGTCCTCTTTTGGAAGGCCAAACAGTAGTTTCGCTTTCACAGCAAAACACATAGTCTCCACGACATGGCGGCGACGGCAACAATACTACAGCGAGAATCAAAGTTACGCCTTCTTTCTTTGCATGAACATTTGGGCGGTGTTATGCAAATCTTCCCACACAGTGACGTAGACATGTGGGGGCGTGTTTAAACAAGGCATTTTAGAACGGCGTGGACGAGTCTTAACTTTTATAAAGAATACCTCTTTGGGTTTGAAACTTTAGTCTTTGCAACTTTAGGGATCTTATCTATTCACAAACAGCTTGTTGCACTCCAAAGAGAAAGGAAAACTTGAAATCGCATCATATGACCTCTTTAAACCGCATAAACACATTTCATTACACCAAATACACAAAAGAATGTTATTTTTTAGCAATGTCTTATGACCCCTTTAATAGACTAAATCACACAGTGTATGCGTGCACTCTCTGAGTGTGTATTTGTTTGGTTTTTGTGATATAGGCTACTCGATAATGTCAGACCGCACATCATTAAAACAACACTTACGATATTAGCGCAGCGCAGACGATTTATATCGCACACCCCAACCTCGACCTGAGTGGAAAATGAAAAAAGAGGCCTTGTCTTGAGTGAATCCTTGGTGTTTCTTGGTGTTTGACTTAACGACCTGAGTTGTTTTAATATGAAAAATACCACCACAATGATAAGGAAAAATAAAATGGCATTCAATTGATGGGC